CTGTGATTGGCTGTTACTTACGCGAGACTTGAACGGGACTTACATTGGCGTCGGATCAGACTGTAGGTAGGGCGGAATTAAAAAAAAAATCTCAAACATCAAAGTAAAATAATAAAATAAAAGGGCATTATAACAAATATAATAAAAAATAAAATTAAAATAGTTTATAGTCAAAATAATTAAAGCCCGTACACTACATCAGATTTTAATCAGATTGGGCTTTGGCGAAATTTGAAAGAGCAACTAATATTCTTCAACCTGGTATTTTTTATAGATTTTATTTTTCATTCTTGTTCGTCTGTTTTTTTCCAGTTTAAGAATATGAGCTGGCTGGAGCCTTCATCCCTTGTCTATTTCTTGCACTAGATACCAGCCGACCCCCCCCCCCCCGCCCGCTCATAGAGACTGCGTATTACAGTTGATTATAGTTCCTGGGCTCCCTGTGGTGAAATATTCAAAAAAAACTGAGAGAAATTTAAAACTACTCACCAACAAGGAGTTATGTCCTGGGATACAACCACTCAGGTAACTTTTCAGGGACCGGGTGCCTAAAGATTAGACCCCCTGAATAATAAAATAGGGCTTCAAACAATTTTAATGTATTAAAACGGTATATTGTTTTGGTTCAATAGAGCAGACTGAACCAGCAGCGCCAAGCAAAAAATGGCTGGTTATGGCTGAAGATGTCATCGCTCTAATGCTTTCACACATGGGGCCCCTTTGTGGTGCGGGCTGGGTCCAAGAACACTGTGTCAGACCCGTCACCACTCCCCTGACCTGTAGAGACCCTCCTCCATAGCTTGGATGTCTCTCAGGTAATAGTTAATGAAGACATCCTGAGATCTCCAGAACCCTGCTTGAAGTACCTGTTGCAGGGGAGGCACCAGACATCAAGGCCAATGAATTCGCTACTACGCCCGCTTTGTGTGCCCTCCCATGGTGATGTTCCAATCTGGTCATTGAAGAAGCCATTATAGTCTACACATCCACGACCGTATTGACAATCCACCGTGAAATGGTGATATTCAAGGCATATTCGAGCTTGCCCTTCCCATAGCAGACAAATATGTACTTCTCATTGTACTTCTCAAGACACCATCAAAGTATCAGCTCAGAGCTCGGACAGGACATAGAATTGGTTCCTGGCGGTCGTCAGTGTCTACTATATTAGTGAGGCATGGGATGACGATCGGTTCTGGGTCACGCCCCGAGAATTGGTTCCTGGCAAAAAAGCCCATCCAAGTCTTCAAAATAACTTGCAAGTTCATAAAGGTAGCACATTTGTCACTAAAAGACAGTGCTTCGTTCTCTGAACGCCGCCTAGTGACTTACTTCATGTGTGCCACTCCCATATGCTCAAATGGGGGTGTCGTAACGCCGCCAGGACCAAAGACAAGTCCCAGTCTGGAGGACTCATTAGCCTTTTGATGTGCGGTCTCTTTGAGTGAAAGACTTAAACAGTTGTTGCATAACCAAACTTGAGGCCAGTTTCAGTCCCACAGATTCTGATAAAACTGGGAACAAAACTGACCGATATCCAAGAATCGTCGATATTGATTATCACTGATCAAATAAATGCAAGGAAAAATCTGCTACCTCACTAATAGATGATAAATCTCCTTTCTGTTACACCAATCAAGAGATTCATCTGGACTCAAACAAATGTCTGGTGCCATCCGACTGTGCTGAAGCAAGGAACTTGGACAACTCTGTAGAAAAGCCTTGCACTTGCATGAGTTTAGATGGAATAATGCAGGCTCATCGGGAAAGTTACATCCAGCTGGGACAACAGATCCAGAAGATCCGGCAACTCCACTGGGGACTCGACTGGAAGGTCCAGCAACATTGGGAACCAGATTTTCACTGGCCAGTTGGGCGCCACCAGTGTCAGAAGACAGGTGGGCTTGAGTCGCAGTTTCTCCAACACTTGGTGCACTAGTTGGAAGGGTGGAAAGGCATAAGCGTCCATGTGACTCCAAGAGACTGCTAGAGCGTCTGTGGCAAAATCGCTCGTTTCTGGGAGCAGTGACACATACGTCCGGTGATTGGCAAACAGATCTATCTGGGGCCTGTCCCGAGATGAAAAAGGCGATCCGCCACCCACTGAGGGATATGCCACTCAGTGCTCTGAAACCGAATACGTCCCGAGAGGGCATCCGTGGTGCTGTTGCGTATCCCTGAAAGGTGGAGAGCCATTAGCTCCACTTGGTTCTCCAGGCACCAAAGGAGGATCTCCGCTGCTAGCTTCGACAACGTGAGGGAATGCGCCCCTCCCTGCTGATGTACGACACTACTGAGGTGTTGTCTGTCCGAACAGGATTCTGTGGTGGTGTGTGACCTCCTGAAAATTCTTCGGGACGGTCTGCAACTCCAGACAATTGATGTGGCCCGCATACATGGTCGGCCACGTCCCTTGGAATTAAAGGTCCATCAGATGGCCACCCCACCCTTGGAGTGATGCATCTGTACTAAAAGTCAGTGAGGGAGCCATCAGATCTGGTAGCTGTGTCCCCAGAGGGGATACATACCACCCTGCATAGGGGTACCAACACTGGAGTCCCCCCTCACAAGTAGGGGCACTCTTGCCTGGTCAGACCATGCCTGAGGAAGGTGTTGGAAACTCGTTGGAGAGTTGGACGCTCCCTGTCCCACTGATGTGTGTTGTCCTCCTGGGAGAGATCAACAGGAGGATGGGACACATCTGACCCAAATCCTGGCAGAGGAGGGACAGGCAGTACGCCCCCACCTGACTCTCACCCACGGTCCTCCTGCGTCATACCCTGCGACTGCAGGAAGGAGTTCACTTTGGAGGCCAGATTAAACATCAAGGCCTTCCAATCGGTCTCATCACCATGGGAGGAGCCCCTTTCATTCTGACTAACATCGGTAAGGGAAGACAACGAGGTCTGTCCCTGTACTTGTACTTGTGCGTACTGAGTGTTGATGGATTGGACCAGTTCAGCCCTTAAGGGCTGTACCGATCCCACCT